CTGACACACGAGTCCTACCAAATGATACCATCTTGGCAAAATGTGGCGGCCAGGCTGGTGGGGGGCAGGTGAGGAAGCTGCTAAGCGAGCTGGGAACAGTGCTCATGTTCAGACATTCACAGGTTTTGACATGGCTACCTCTCTCTGTGAACTGAGGGGATGCCTGAGAAGCATATAAAAATGACGGGAACTAGTGGCATATTCTGTATTCACATTGAAAAGCCAGCCATTCTATATTGCCAAGGGCAGATGAAACTCTTTTGTTGTTGTTGTTGTTTTGTATTTTTCATATGTGTGTGGGTGTGTGTGTGTGTGTACGCACCTGGAAGTCATGGCGACCTCTGGTGACTGACCCCTACTGGGGGCCTGGAGGATATTCATAGGGGTGGCTGAATAAAGCCTGCTCCCGACTGCTGGTATTCCAAGGAGGTCTCCCATCCAAGTACTTGCCAGAGTCGGCCCTGCTTAGCTTCCGAGATCTGACAAGATCAGGCTTGCTTGAGCTATCCAGGCCAGGGCAGCAGATGAAACTATTGATAGTAACCCAGAGGAGAAGCCATGTTAGTCTGTTGCATCAACATTAAACAAATATCCAGTGACACCTTAAGCACAGGTCCCCAACGTGGTGGTGCCTGCCAAGTGTTTTTGGGAAGTGGGTGGGGCCAGGTGGGGCTTTTGCCCAGCAAGGCTTCTGATTGGCCATTGGAGATTTGATTGGCTGTGCGGATTTTTTTAAAATGTTGGTTGACAGCTGCTGCCACCACGACACAAAGATCCACACTGTGTTACTGAAGTTAAGCTGCGGCAATCATTTTGTGGCTGGCTTTGCCTCCTGCAGCAGCCACTTTGTGGCAGCCATTTTGTTGCTGCGCCCACCATGCCGTGTCAGTATTCCAGATGTGCCTGCAGGCTCAAAAAGGCTGGGAACCCCTGCCTTAAAGGCTAACAGCATTCATTCTAGTATCAGCTTTTAACACCTGATGAAGGGAGCTGGACTTCTGTTTAACAGAACTCTCGAGTCAATCCTATCCGCTGGCCTGCAACATGATTAGAGGTGTTTACAGTATAAAAGTCTTAGAAGCTGCTGTTTCTGAAGAGTAAACTTCTTTCTTATCCTGCCCCCCCCTTTTCTTTCGCAATAGAAAGCCGTTTCGTCTCCAACCGTCTCGCGGCTTACGGATACGACACGCTTCACTGGTTCTCACAAAGAGCGCTTTGACCCCACTGGGAAAGGGAAGGGCAAGGCTGGCCGCGAAGATCTGGTCGACACTTCTGGCTACGTCTCGGGGTACAAGCACGCGGGCACGTACAATCAGAAGGTCCAGGGAAGCAAGTAGGCTTGCCATTGGGGAGAGAGAGCGGTTGTACCCGGGGTGGTCACCTAGATGAGCCCTACCCGTTGAGTCGGAAATAACTGTCGGCGAGCTTGCATTTGTGGGGGACCTGAACCGATTATCGACATCTACTGAGACTCTTGCAGTGACGCACCACTTCGTTACATTCCTTGTGCTTGTATGGGTAAGGAAAAGGACATGGCGAGAAACGGCGTTGGTGTTGCTAGGCGAGAAACCGGATCCAAGGCTTTTGTACCACACCTCGCTCATACCGGTAGCAGATTGCAAACATTCCTCTATGCCTAATTTCTCTGTCCTGCTCTTTTGGCCATTGTATCAAACCTCCCCCCACCCCCATTGGCAAAAAAGAATGGAGGCTTTTAGTCCAAGCTACACGTGCCGGCGGCTTTTCCAGGAAGCACCCAACCACTCGATTTGATTATTTATTGTTCAGCAACGTCTTAAGAGGGGGTAAATGCTACCATCAGAGACGGAAATTCAGCCTTCTATGAAATAGCTTGTTGCTTTTTTTTTTTTAAGGTGCTCTTCTGGAAAAAAGCGTTTCCATCCCATTTGAGAACAAGAGCAGCAGCAGCAGCAAAAATAATATTCTTTACATTCTTCATCCTAGAGCACTGAGGTCTCAGGTAATGCTTGTTCCCAGAAAGAGGTGAGGGCTTCAAGCCCTTGTTACTGACCCCCAAATCCTCTCCTGCCCAAGGACGTGCTTTGGGTGCCGTGGAAGTAATAGAGGGTATGAGATGCTCACAGGAGCTGTGGAGACTGCTGTCAAAGGTGTGCTGGAATTGTGCCAGCAGCTTGCAATATCCAAGTCTGCACCGCTTCAAACTGGAAGTCTAAAGGCGACGGAGGATGTGTTATCAACATAACTTTTTACAATAAACCCCTCCAGTTGGATTCATGTTCGGTTAGGACTTTTTCAGCAAGTGACATTTTCAGAAGGCTACAAATATCTGGAAGTTCAGTCCCTTCCACCCAAATTATTCACTGTAGAAATTCCCTGCTCGATTTGGGTCATCCCTTTAAAAACAAAATTTTGATTTGCGGTATCAGTCTGCTGAGAATTCAGTTCCAAAAAATTGAAAGAAAGCAAATGGTTCTCTGATTCACTGCACCCTCTATCTATATATCTAATAGCCAAGTTGCCCCCGGAGTGCGGATCGCTAAATCAGCGCTCCGGGGGCACTTGGGGGGGAGGTGGAGGTTTGTGTGCACGTGGGCCAGTCCCCACGTGTTCACAAAAAAGCTAAAAGTAGCGGGGGGGACCGCTGCCCCCCCCCCCCCGCGAGTATGGCGGGTCCCCGTCTTGTCAGGTATAATTCCAAAGTTAACTTATACTGATGCAGAACACAGATAAGATAAAACAGAGATTCGTTGATTTCTGTGCTGTCAGTCACTGGCTGTCTTGTGCAACAGCCATCTGCATAGTTACTCCAGTCTAAACCCATTGATTTCAGTGGGCTTACATTGGAGTAACTGCCTAAAATTGCACTGCAGTGCTGAAACGTTGCCTCAGGGTATGTCTGTGTGTCTAAACTTTTATATTGCCAAAAAGGAGGCAACATACCAGCATACCATAGAGCGACAACTCCTTAGCTTGTTGGGCAATCTTTACACCTCTGTTTCTTATAGAGTAGATTATACACCACTGTATTGATGGCATAGCCAGAAAAATAATGGCTGGGGTTTTAGAAGTCTGTTTGCAAGCAGTTGAGCACCCAGTTTCCTTCCTTTTAGAACCAAGTTTGGGCATTCTGTTTATTAGCCTTTATTAGCTTTGGGCTCGTTTCACTGCTTATGACCAGACCTCCTATAGACTAAAGGAACTGGCTATTTCCAGTACTGCTGACTGTTTCGTTCACATGGCCTTTGTCCTGAGACTGAGCTGGCGGGCCACCTCCCCTTCTTTCCCTGACAGTTCATGGAGGGTTCTAGTCCAGGGGACAGCCACAAGTCCTTCAGTCTACACTTCAGAAGGGAATCCAAAAAGAATAATCTGCCTGAAGTTAAGTACCGCCTTTATGGGCTTCTGAACTTTGTCTTTGAAATGTCAGGATTGAGCAGAGAAAAACCTGCACAGCCCGGGGGAATGTTCTTGGAGACAGCAGCTTTGGGGTTCCTGAGTGATGCCAGGACTGCTGGCGTTGCGGTGTTTATCCTGGCGAGGCCCACTCACCTGCTTTTATTTGTACAGTTTCTGGCAAGGCAGGTATTTGTCCTCCAGCGATATTTGCCAGCTGTCTGCCAACTGTAGTGAGTATGGGCAACAGCACGGCGTTGTGCTTTGGTGGCGTAACAGACACCACGGAGTTGAATCATTCCCATTGGCAGGGGTCATTTGGGGCCAGAGCGAGCCGGAGCAGTGCTCCGGCAGCCCAGGAGTGGACACAAATGGCGGTGGCGGCAAGCCTTGCCCCTAGCTCCCTGCCCCTAGCTCCTTCTCTCTAGAGTCGTGCCACAGGAGTGGTGCAATCTTTCCATTGTATTCTATGGAGCCACTGCGGCGCAACTCCAGAGAGAAGGCGTTTAAACGTTAAACCCCTTCTCTCTTCACTTCCCCCACCCCACCCCGCCTTAGCAGGCTGGCTGGGGAAGAGAAGGGGAGGCTTTTGAAGATGCCTCCCCCCCTTTTTGCTTCCCCTTCTGACATATTCTGCTAATATGTATGCTAATGAGCTCCTGCACCTCTTTTTCTACGAAATGACCCCTGCCCATTGGGTAAGGCTAAAGTGTGGGTAGGTTTACAGGTAGGGGGAGGACCTCAAAGGGTAGCTTTGCCAGATCTTTTTGTAGGCAAATACAGTCAGCAGTGAGGGAAAACATGCCCTTGGGACACCTGGTGGCCTATTCCCTCTCTAGAATTCTGCAACCTAAGTTAGCGCCCCAACTGGAGGCAGTGGCGGCCCTTGGAAAAAGTGAGGGCGTGGGTGCATTGCAGTTTTAGGACAGGGATATGGTAGAGTTGTCTTCCTCCAGACCATTCATCCAAGTCAGTGTTAGCACCAGCTTGGACCTTGGAGTATATTTGACCTCTCTCTACTGCCTTCCCCTGATGCTTCTCTTTAAATGAGTCTTCAAGCACAAAAACATCCTTGTCAATACATGGTATGCCTACTTTTATCTTCTCTGTTACTCCATTCGCCCCCCCCAACCCCCCTTCAAACTTGCACTAAGGGGGAAAATGTGAAGCGGTTCTGCAAATGTGAATATGGTAGAGATCAATTATCTGTAGATTTTTTTTAAAAAAAAGATATTTTACAATGGTAATATGTTTACAACTTTCCTTGCTGATTTAATAAAATCACTTTAAGCACACAAGGTTTTCTACTGTATGTGAAACATAATGCACTCCAAAGGATTTCACTCCTTCCTTCCTTCCTTCCTTCCTTCCTTCCTTCCTTCCTTCCTTCCTTCCTTCC